TGTGTGTGTGTGTGTGTGTGTGTATGTGTTGGGGACACTGCAGGTGGTGGTGATATGATCTGGGGCAGACAGGAAAGAGTTGAGTTTTTGCATGTGATTTCTTCGATCTCCTCTAGTCCTCATGGCCACCAAAGTGCATGCCATGGGGCTGAGGGAACACCAGATATTGTAACACATCAAAAATGTCATTGTGACCTAGGTTGGGAAGCAGTGCTGTGGCTTAGCTAGCACAGAGAGGTACTCTGCATCATCCATGACTCCTTCCCCCTTTCCTTGGCTGTCAACTCCCCTGTCATCCCAGATACCAGCTCCTTTAAACCTATGTCACCTCTCCCCTCAACATTTGAGTGGTGATGGAGCCTGCTGACCACACTGTGACTACCACTGAATCCCGGGCCCCCACCACTCTGGAAGCTTCTGAAGGCAGAGAGCTGTCTGAGTCCAGGACCTAGCAATTCTGGCTGAATAAAGATCCCCAAAGACCCTGCCTGTCCAAAGACAGGCTTCAAGGTCCTATCTGTCTCCAAGCCTTTTTCCAACCACCTGAGAGGTATAACAGGAAGCTAGATATGTGGCTGCTACCTTTATATCTCAAAAGACAGTGGAAAAACGATGTACAAAATTTAATGAAAAGAAACATAATTGTTACCATTTAAGAAATCCTACAAAAATCATGAAATGAGAAGCTGGAGTTGCAGCTCTAAGGTGATCAAATGCTGATTAACACTGTGTGAGACTATCTAGATTGAACTACCCAGAGTAACTTTGTAAGGGCTATGTGGGTGGGCCCACACACACACACACACACACACACACACACACACACACATGCTGTATATAAATTATCCCCAGAACATTAACCAAATTTGAGAATCATCACCTACATTGACATTTTTCCTAGTCTGATGTCTGTTTAAATTATGGCAGGTAAGACTCTGCTCTTAGCTCACTAAAACCATTGTAGCAACAAAACAGCAATAACACAGGGAAACAGACTTTTAAAGAAGCATAGTCATTGTCTTGCTTATTTTTCTCTCATTGCTAGGACAAAATATGCTATACTCAAAATGAATAAAGGAAGGCAAGGCTTACTTAGCTCATAGTCTGTGGAGGTTTCAGTCCACAATCAGCTGGCTCCAAGGCAGAGTGGCACGACACTGGGGCAATACTTGAAGGCAGCAGCCAGAGCAAGCCTCTCTTCTTTTCTTATATTGTACTCAGGCCACTTCTAGTCCCCTCCACCTCTCCAGGGCAAGTGTAGAGCTCAGAAAATCTCCCTGTCCTTCTCTTGCACAGGAGTAGGATATTTACAAAGTAAGGATCCTGGCTCCCTGCTGAGTCTCTCAGTTAAACTTCTAAACTTCTCAAATTGACACAATGTATCAACCATAATAGCCACAGTCACTTTTGATAAAATGAGAGCCAAAGTTACTTTGACTGCTTCTGTGGTAGAAATTGCTTCCCTTCTGTGGCTGACCTCTCCAGGCCTTACACCTGGTTGTGGCCCTGCACGCAGTCCTTTCATTTAAGTCTCTTGAGCCACATGAGTTGGATTCTGTTTCCTGCAGCGATCTCTGCTACTTAGTCTATAATAAGAAACCCCCGACTAGCATCAGCTTGGGACATAATAATGTCCTGATTTGCTAATTACTGATGATATATACTAATTAGATTAATGCTGGTTATTTCATTGATATGCTTAGAACACGACTAAATTCATAAACTAATGGCTTGGAACTTATACCTACAAGTTTTATTGCCTTCTCGAAGTCAGTAAGATAGTATCCTTTAATGCCAAAATATTAAAACATTCTGAGGCTGCCTCTGAAGATTTCCCTTAGTGACCATAACACATTATTTTGAATAATGCTAGAAATGGTCTTTTTTTTTTTTTTTTTTTTTTTTTTTTTTTTGGTACTGAGAATCAAACTCAGCATCTTATGCTTGCCAGGCAGTGCTGCGCCACTGAGCTACATCCCTGACCCTGGAAATGGTATTTTAATGGAAGATTTGATTCCATTGAATAGGCAATATCACAACACATATAAGAAAATTGGTAATAATTTCATTATGCGTATGGGTTGATCAGGTTTCTGTCACTTTGACAAATTACTTGAGATAAACGGTCCACAGAGAGCAAAGATTTATTTAGGCTCAGAGTTTAAGAGATTTCAGTCAATGGTCAGCTTGATCCATTTCTTTTTGGGCCTATTACAAGGCAGAAGATCATGATAGGAAACACATGGTAAAGCAGATCTGGGAAGCAAAGTAGAGGAGGGATCAGGGTCCTAACACCCCTTCCTAGGACACACTCCAGTGATCGCATTTCCTTCAGTTAGGCCTCACCCCTTAAAGGATCCACCATCTTCCAATAGTAACAGAGTTAGGTTATCACATCTGTAATTCATAGCCATTGGAAGAAGACATTCAGGATATGAATTATAGCATTCCGTCCTGCCCCCAAAGGCTCATATCTGTCCTAGAATACAAAATGCATGCAGTTGATCTCTGATGGTTCCCCACATCGTTTCTGCATTGCTCAAAAATTCTCCAAGTCTCCTTTGAGACTTGAAGTAAACTTTTAGCTGTAAGTCCCTGTAAAAATTTTTAAAAACATACTCCTAAAATCCAATGGCACAAGGTAAACATTCTCATTCTTAAAGGAAGGAAAACAGTAAGGAGGAATCACACCAGCAGGAGAGACATTAAATCCAGTATTTCCATGTTTGGCATCCAGGGAATATGGTGGAATATGGTGGCTTGATGTGTCTCCCTGCCTGTGTGGCCTTGCTCACTCCAGCCCAGGCAGCCGCTCTCTTGAGCTGGCTCTGTTCACTACCTGGAGCTTCCCTTGAACCTTGATGTGTTCCACGTTCCTGGTATCTCTAACTTCCCGGCGTCTCCACTGCAGTTTTAGCTTCACTGTTCCAGTGTCACGTATCCAGTTCTCAGGGACTGTTTGCGGGGACATTGTTTTGGTCACACACTGCCTGGACTCTTGGGAGTTCTCCTTTGGAATGTTGATGGAAGTCTCTGTGACTCACCAAAGCTTACATTCTACATACCTGCAAAACCATCTTCATAGGTGGGAATGGCAGTACCTCCTTGGAATATCAGTACTCTAGAAGGCTGAAGCAGGAGAATAACAAGTTTGAGCTCAGACTGATCAATTTAGTGAATTAGTGAGATCTTGTCTCGAAAATAAAAACACAGAAGATTATCTGGGAATGTAGCTTGAATTGAAAGCTACCACAGTGCCACAACTAGGAAAAACAGCATCATGATGCCAAGTCTGCCACTAGCTTGAGCAATAGCTGGGCCCACCTGCACCATGGCTGCAGAGGTGTCTTCATGTCTGGATGGTTGAACACGAAGAATCAGGTTACAAGGAAACTGTTCCCTACACAATCTTGTGGTGATCCCTGGGTAACCCAAAGCTCTCAAACAAAATCCTTTGAGCCTGAGATGAGTAAAATCTTGCTGATTCCTGAGATGCCCTCAAGGCATCATTTCCATTGTCCTGACACAGAATAATTAGCTTCTTTTTATTGGTAGGGATCTCTTTAGCAACTTTACCCTCCTTGATCACAACTTTTAAGTATTCTCCTTTTCTGACCAAACTAAGTTTTTCAAATTTTTCCATTCTGCTTTTGCTCTTAACTCTTACTGTAAATCTGGTTAAAAGCAGTAGGTAACACCCATTCTATTACATGAATGCTGTTATGCCTTAAAATCTTCTCCATCAGATTTATTAGTCTGTCACTTTTCCATTCAAGTTCTTTGCCTCTAATACAATTCCTAATAGAGTCCTAATTCCTATCTGAAGCTTCACCGGCACAGCTTTTATTGTCTATACTCCTTGATTAGCATCTAGTTTTTGAACCTGTCCCAGAATTGTCCATTCAGCTTTGTTTATAGCATTCTGGAGTTTTCTCTAGTCTGCTTCTCCAAAATTTTCCAACCCCCCCCCCCACAAATTAGTTCCAAGGGGTTCTGAACCCTACTGTTAAGTATAATTCAGTCATAGCAACAACCCTACTTTTTAGTATCAGTTTTCTGAGTTACCTTTTTATTGCTGTGACAACATACATGTGAGATACAAAGTGCAAAACTGTATTTAGGCTCACAGTTTCAGAGGTTTCAGTCCATGGTCGGTCTCCTTTTGGACCTGTGGCAATGCAGAACATCACAGCAGGGATTGCATTCTGAAACACAGGTGCCCACCTCATGGTAGCAGGGAGCAAAGAGAAAGGGGAAGAAGATGCCAGCTCCCCAATATCCCCTTATCCCACACACCCAAGACCTAATTTCTTTCTGTTAAGTCTCACCCCCTTAAAGGTTCTACCACCTTTCAGTAGTTCACAGGCTGTAGCACATGGCATTTAGGTGATATTAAAATCTAAACTATAAATGTATAAATGCAAATTTCACTAATTGTCTACAAAATATTTTTATAGAGTGTTTTCTTTTAAGCTGGGGTTCAATCAAGGTTCATGTATTGCTTTTAAGTACATTGTTAAATATCCTTAGACATGCAGAGATGCGACTTTATCACATCATGTAACATCGTAACTATAACAGAATCAAATGTAACTTTAGTGAGTGCTAAGGGCACTTTGCAAAGGGTACAACTTAAGTATGGCAGAAGATGAGCTAGCCATTTGTGACTAAAATTGGTACAAGTAATCAGCATTTCCTCTTTCCTGTTAGGACATACAGAGAGAGTAATTATATTTCCACATGATAAATAATGATAAATTAAAAAATAAGGGGGTCTTTGGGATTGGCCCTATTGCAAGAGCTGGAAGGCCTTTGTTTTTAGTGTGACTGGGAAATGCCAGGATCAATACTATAGCAACTCCGCTTGATTTCCCAGTTTCCCAGCATACTCCTGTCTTCAACACTGACTACATTAGGTAATGTGCTATGTGTGTTTTTGGAAAGAATTGCTCGTCCTCTTTCATCAACTACAAATAACCCAGAAAAACAAACACAAGATAGCCTTTTTCCACATTATTTATTCACAGTCAATTACTGATAACTACATAAGGGGGTTAAACAAATTAATAGGAGTGTTGGGAAGCCAGAGGACCATGGGAGGGATGGTAGAATTTAGACAGTTAATAATTTTATACAGTGCTAAATGAAGGATTTACAAATATTCTTTTTTTTTAAAAAGTATCCTCTGAGGGCAACAGAAGATAAAAATCATCATGAATAAAATAAATGAACCACTTTGCATTCCAGAGAACCAAAGTCTGCAAAAATGTTTTGCATTTCAGACCGTTATGATTTTTAGACATTGATGTGATGTAATTTCCAACAAGAAAGACTAACACTGAGTAACAGATTAACACAATGCAGAAGAAAATAAAGAACATGAAAATAGCTTGTCATCTGCTAGCAAAAATAGATGTTAATATCAAAATCAAAGACATTCAAATAAATTATACCAAAATATTGTAGCTATTATTCCTTAGATAATAAGATCAACTTCTTATTGCTCCTATTCATAACTGAAAGATCTGAGGAAATTCTACAATAGCTGGAAGCCATAATGTCATATGTAGTAGACTTACACCAAAGCACAACAGCCAAATAAACACTTTATTGTTTTTTGAGACTTGACATCCTTAATAGTAGAACAAGATTACTTGTCAAAAATCTGCATAATACAAATGAAGGTCAGTGCCCAAAGCCCAAGAAACGGACTTGTCAGAAATAATTAAAAGCAGGATATAAGAAAAGCAGCAGTCCAAATGAACTAAACATTTTTTTAAAAAAAAATGTGTCTGTAAATTTTTCTCCCTTAGAGAGTGACCCAGGAAGCAAATAAAGGTGTGTGTGTGTGTGTGTGTGTGTGTGTGTGTGTGTGTGTGTGTAGCAGGGTTCTGGGATATTCAGGGTATTTGGCCAATATCTGTGCTGTTGTCCTAAAGTGAGCCCCGTCTCTGTAGCTAGGGACAGAACCCACCTAGCTTCCAGGAGGTGAACTGCAGGGAGAAGTTGCGCCGAGGCTCTTACCGTCACCTGTGACTGGGGAAACACCTGCCTTTGGGCGTCCTGGGGTCTGGAGAAGGAACCATCTGCTCCCATGCTAGACTGGGCATGTGAGACATTCATTTCTGTACTTTGTGGTAGTTAACAGAAGAATATTCAATGTGGACGACTGGATGCCTGTGCTATTTCCAAGAATATATGATTTATTATAAATTTGGGATAGAAAATTAGGATTAAAACAGAGATTAAAACATGTATCTACAATGGGGTAGCGATTGGCAGTATTTAATAGAGAGATTCAGAGTCTAGAAAGTTAAATTCTACCTCAATTCTTCCCAAACAATATCAAGTTTCTGTTTTCTTTATCTTAAAAGAATAAAAGCTCTAGACATACAGATCTGATGGAAAGGAACTTCTGAGAGAAGGAACTGAGATTTAAAAAAGCCGTTTCCTCCTCAAGGTAGTTTTAAGGTTCAAATAACACGATGCATTAGAAAAGTCTTTTGTAAAGATGCTAGTACTGACTAGTTATTTCAAAATTTGCATATGGTTTTATGCCTAATTTTACTCATTTCCACCCTGAACTCAAGTTAGATGATTACAGAAATGACAATTTATCCTTGTGATTCCAAAAGAAAGCATAAAATCAATAGAAATAACAACATTAGTACAATTAAAGAATTTCTAAATAGTGTGTGATAAAGCTACCTCTGTTCAGGCTGTATTTTGTTTTTGTTGTTTTGTCCTTTTTGAGTCAGGCTCTGGAGCAGGAGGCCTATTTAACAGCCAATGTTACTAAATTTCTACATTTATTCTCACACTGTGAAAACTAGATTCATTAAATTTATAGTGTGCTTCCTCATGTTTGCTAGCCGAATTCAGATAAATGCTCAAAAAGAAAAGAACAAAGCACACACTAAATAATTGGATTGTGTCATTCAACTGCTTAGAAATGGAAATGAAACCCATACTGTGTTCATTTTGACATCTCCATAAAATGGAATAAATGAATCCAATATTTAATGACTTGTTTTAAAATGCCAGTCACTTGCAGACTCCAAGAGACGACTGATCCACTTATTTTCCGTTTTAGACATGCAGTGCTGTCCAACTGCATCTGGTGTGACACTGAAACTCGTGCACCCCTTTTCTGTCCTTTATTTTACTCTTCATTCATAGCATTCTACACCTCTGAAATTCTTTGTCTAAAAATGTTTTCCAGAGAAATTTCTTCGCATCAACACACCTGACATTTTCATGGGATTCTGGGTAAAAGGCATCACAATTAGGCTTTGGTTTTAACATAATCTGGGAGGAAGCTGGAATTATTTTGAGAATACAATTCAACTACTACACAAATTACATTATTGTAATTTGAAATAACACCCTTTAAAAAGCTTCCCCTTCCAGTAGTATAATCTATTGAGACTGCTGCAGAACTCACAATGACATAAATAAAAAGAAAGTGTAGGAAAGGGATAAAACACTTAAAAGTTTATCAGAAGACAACACAAAAGAAACCACACCAACTCTACATTTGTCTATAAGGCAAATGGTCAAACTTTTTATACAAGATCTAAAATATGGTACTTATTAAGAGGTAGAAAATACCAGAAGAATATTTAAGAAAAACATTTTTAGTTATTTAAAACAATCAGTTATTTTGCTAAACTTTTAGAAAGTTCAGCTCTTGTGTGGAATACATTGTATGTTTTATAGTAACCTGGGACATTCCATATTCCACAGCGATGTGGCCAAACAGGATGGTTCCCAAAGCAAGAGGCAGGGTGGGGTGAGGTGGGATGGGGTGGGGTGAGGTAGGGTGGGGTGGGGAGGGAAGAAGAAGATTTCTCCATTTGTCAAGGATTTAGCTCTCACTAAGGAAATGCCATTCAGACATTTCTCAGAAATGCCATTAGGACAATTAATTAATGGGAATTTCTCCAGCTGATGACAACCCAAGGGTATAATTTTGCATATAAGGCAACAGAACTACCAGGAGGGACAAGCACAGATGCTTCCCCTTCCAGAAGATGGCACGTCATCTTCCATAAAAACATACATTCCACTATCTTCTGTCCTCCCCTTAACCAATTTTCCATATTGCAAATGAAAATATTCTTCAGACTCCAGCACCAGCAGAATTGTTCTGTATGAGCAATTCAAGATCTGTCTGAGGCAAAAAGGTATCTCAGCTACCAAATTAAACTTGGTAGTTTACAAGTGGGTGAGTCTGGGTGTTCTTATTTCATAATGCACCTGGGAGAGGTTGATTTTTTTTCCCTCCAACATAATTTTATAAGGCATAAATTTAATTTGAATTTTCCCTAGCCTTTGGGAAATTAGTGTTAAAGCTTCTTTTTCAATCCACACATTAACATTCAATCTTTCATTTTTATTAAAGTTTATATATAAAAAGAAATACCAAGGTGTTCCACATTCATATAAACAATCATGATAGTATTTGAAACTGCAAAGAAACTCAGGAAGAAAATATATACTTCAATACTTACAATGTTAAGCTAAGCACAAGTGATTGTTCTGAATATATCTTTTACATATACAGACACAGGCCGCGCTGCTTCCAGACGCGAACACGGGAGAAGTACATCAATGCAGCTTCCTTCTTTGCTTTTCACCACAAGATTGGATGTTCCACTTTTGAAAAACCAAAATCTTTTCTAAGTTCCAAATAGGTACCATTGCTCACCCAAGAGTCATCACTGGATTTCCTGTGAAAGATAAAACAGTGTTTTGCAGACTCTTGAACATGCTGTCAAATGCTCTCTCTCGGGTCTGCTTTCCTCTCCCTTCCCCACCACATTCTCACATACACCCACCACCCGGAGGTGTATGTGGAGGGTCCTGCCTTGAAACCTGGTGGAGACTGGCATCCTGGAGCTGTTTTGTCATTCCGGGTGTTAATTTCTCAAACCTGGAGGCTATGAAAAGTGGTGCTTCTGAGAGCACAAATGGAAGGATCATTTGTTGCATAGAAAACATGGCCGGATGACAGTCCACCCCTGGGGAATAACTATGTAACATTTACACTTCAAAAAACAGGTTGTTCATAGAAGTGGTAAGTTAATATAAAAAAATTAGAAGAATTATAGGGTATAGTCCTGGTTTACTATTTTTTAAATAGACAGTATACTACATAAACCAAATTTCCAAAGGCTTGAAAGTGATAAATACTAAAAGTTTTCTCCTAGCCCTATCTCCCAGCCTCTGGGTTCGGGAGCCTATTGGAGGTGATGCTATCATCTACAATTCTTTTTAGAAGGAATCCATGAATATGTACCCATGCATTTATACCCATAAACATGGCACCTCCTCCCATTTCTATGCAATGATAGTCCTAGACAGTGGCCTGCCCCTGAATGTGTGAAGCAACAATATATACTGGTCATATATTCCCATCAGCTTGATCAGCAGGGGTTAGCAAACTACAGCCCAAGGTCAAGCCCATCATTTTGCCTGTCTTTGAAATACTGTTCATCGGAACTCAGCCATGCCTATTTGTTTAAATACCCTCTATGGTCGCTTTTTTGCTAAATAGCTGAGTTAATTGCTACTGAGGCCTATGGCTGCAAAATCAAGATTTATCATTCACTTTTTATAGAAAAATTTTGATGACTCCAGAAATAGGAGATTTCTCATTTCCTTTTTAAATAGCTGCACGATATTTTAACGCATGGATAGGCCACAATGTACCTAAGAGGCACCCTCCAGATGGACACTTAAATGCTTTATAAACCCTAGGTAGTACAAATAAAGCATATGTTATTTTGTATGTAAGTATAGTTACATTAAAAATTCCTACAGTTAGTTCTGCTGGGACAAAGAGGGCTTACATTTGTAATTTTAATGGATATTGTCATAAGTTTCAGAAGCAAAAATAGGGGTACTGGTTTTCCCATGTTTTCAGGAATATGGATTTTTATACTACACTTATTTCCCTATTCAAATAAAGGCACACATTTAAAATGGGCCAATCTGTGTATCAAATGGTTCAGACAGAACAAAGAATGGTTGAGCTGGCCTGAGGTGTGGTCTCTGCCTGGAATTTCCAATGGGTTTTTGCTGATCCTCAAGGAACGCTAACAGTCACACCAGGCCCCTGCATTCCTTCCTCATAGCTCTCTCCCATCTTTCTAATTTGCACAGTCCCAAGTAGGACTGGCCCTGCCGAACAGCCCTCATACTTCCCTCAGTGTTTAAAAACTTCACCTTCACTTCCGTGATAGATACAAACAATGGAAAGCAAAGGAGACACAATCTCTGCAACAATAGTGCACGGATTCGGGTTTTACATTTGAATGTTAACTCGGTTCCCATGTTGCCCCACAGAATCTGTAAACTCATTTCTAATGCTTTCATATTAGGCCAAGTTGGTTTATCTCCTTAACTGGTCCTTGAGATGGTTTGATTACCCAAAATTTTTAATAATCCTAAAATACACAGTACGGAACACCTGTACAAACACAGATTTTCCTCTATTTTAAAAAATAAAACTGTATGACTTACAAAAAAAGAAAAGAATCAATCCACTTAAGGAGAGTACGTGTGTCTTGTGCCCTGGTCAGTAAACCAGAAGTCAGGCTGTTACTCTAGTTTTCTATCCCTTGCTTTTTTCAGTAAAGAATTTGAAGAGTCTACCTTATTTTCCAAATATTTAAATAAAGCTATGAATATTGCAAGATGAAGCTCTGGGGAATTGATCTTCAGCTGCTAAAATCCTGAGGTTGAGGAATTGATCAGAAAGGACATGGTAGAATCTATGTCATCCTTAGGGAAAGAGTACTGTATTTTAAGATAAAACATGACTGGTTGTATTTTAATGTTTTGAAATACATATTTTATTAGTGTTGCTGAGAAATTAGTAGGCAACTCTTTCTGAATATTACTTCTGTTGTCTGTTAAAAACAAACAGAAACAAAATGTAAAAACAAAATCCTGACCTCATAGAGAACAGGGCTGGGTGGAAACCAGTGCAGAAACTTCTGCTATGGCCTGAACTTTGGGGGTTTTTTTAATGCTGTTTTCTGAGACAGTAGTTCAGGCTGCTCTTGAACTCACTACATAACCCAGGCTGACCTCAAACTTGCAGTGATCCTCCTGCCTCAGCCTCTCAAGTGCTGGAATTATAAGTGTTTGCCACCATATCAGCTACTATGATTTTTTAAAAAAGAATAATCTAGAGCCATCTAAAGCCTTAACCTCATATTCAGGAGAGTGAGGGCCTCATATGAAACATGTCACAGGATTCCTCAAGTCACCTCCATTCTCTGAACCTTGTTTTTCAGTTAAAATTTATTTTAAACATGTAAGTCTATTTTAAGAAAGAACTTCTTAGTGAATTTGATTTGTTTAGCTCTGTTTTATTGAGACAAGATCTTGCTATGTAGTTCAGCCTGGCCTTGAATTCACAGAGATGTTCCTGCTTCAGCCTCCCAACTACTGGTGTCACAGGTGTACGCCACCATACCCAGGTAGCAAGTTATTTTAAAAATAAGAGTAAATGTTCAAAATCCAAGCCTAAGGGTATTGGAACTGCTATTCAAGAGTTAGAATACTTGGAATTCCATTTTGGTAACCAGAGGGACGGTTAGTTATTTCTGACACTGCACAAAATACAAAAAATGTAAAATAGTATGGTACTCGTGTGGGTGGCCAGGCTGAGGCAAGTATGTGCTCAGCTGGCCACAGTATGTACTGAGACGTCCCCTCCACAAAGGCAGCACGGCCTTGGGGAAAGAGCCAAGGGTGGGCAAAGGAGGGCGCTCTTTCTGCTGGAGCTCAAGGAGGGCCATGGAGGTCAGGCCCGGCACCGCACAGGGCGCCACCCTTTGGAGCAGGGTCTCTGCAGAAGCCGGCAGCTTCTCGAAGCCCCAGACCCCACGAAGGGCCCTGGCGCACACCTGAAGAACCGCGGCTGGTGCTCCATGCTGCTTTCTTCTAAGGCCCGCCGCCTTTCCCGCTGCTGCTGCTCAATCCGCTGCTTCTGCGCTTCAGCTTCTTCTATGTTCCCTTCCTCCAGAAACCTGAGCCACGGAGGGAAAAAGTGAATTAGTGCCACTTCCGAGAAACCAAACCAGGGCTGGGATTTAGCTCAGTGGCATAAATGCCTGTATAGTGAGCTTGAGTTCGATCCCAGGTACAAAACTAACCATCAACTGCTACTAAACTTCCATGCATCAGAATGCTCTTCCACGCCTGAGGGCCCTCTGCTGATCCCTGACACAGTGTTTTCAGGGAAAGAGGGAAGAGATTATTTTATGAATCGTTGATATTTACATGGTTCAAAAATGTACCAAGGATAAGGAATTTGGGACGAGGTCTCCCTCTCTTTCGTCTCCAATTCTACCTGTTACTATCCCCCGGCACCCGCTCTGCCCTCCCACTACAAGCAAACCCATTGTTAGTTTCTTGTATATTTTTTTAGAGATTCTTTTGCATATTTATGCAAATATAGATTCATATCCCTTCATCCATTTCAAAAACATAAATGGTAGCATGCTATTTATATACCTTAAGTTTTTGTTTTACTTTACTTTTTACTTAGAAATGTATCTTGAAGATCTTATTCTCCTTCTATTCTTTTTTGTTTGTTTGTTTTTTAGGCAAGGTCTCACTATGCAGTTCAGGCTGGTCTTGAACTCCCTATAATCCAGGCTGGTCTTGAATTCATACTGATCCTCCTGCCTAGGCCTCCTGAGTACCAGGATTACAGGTATGTGCCACATGCCTGGTTTGAAGATCTTTCCACGGTAGTACATAAACTCTCCTTTTTAATAGCTGTATGCTGATTAGTTATAGGATTATACTTTATTTAAACAACCTCCTATTGGTAAATATCTGCGTTGTTCCTAGTGTTTAATGTACGGCTTTGCATATATACTACATCTGGAAAAGTATTCTTCAGGAGAAATCCTAGAAGTGAGACTGGTACGCTAAGGGATGAGTCTGTAGTTTATGTATCATAAACTGCCCTTTATCTGGGTTATGGCAACTTACACCCCTATCAGCATGAGCACCCTTCCCTCTTGCCTCAAAGTATATGAGAAATATATTTTCACATGGCTTTTAAATTTATCATTTTTTTATATTACAAGTAAGACTGAACTTGTTTGTGTGTTTAAGAAATACCTGCATTTCCTCTTTTATGAACTGCTCATTTTCCTACGTTCATTTTTTTTTTTCTAAGGGGTTCATCTACTCCTTGATTTTTAGAACTAATTCATGATATGAGCTATAAATACAGATTGTGTGTATCATTTATCTTTTGACCTTGCTTATATATTTATATTTACTTTGCCACTAAAGTTTTTATTATTTTTAAAAATAAAGTCAAAGTAGACATCTTTTCTTTCTTTTGGCTTCTGGATTTTGAGACTTAACTAACAAGGCCTAAAAGGAGAGAATATTATCTTCTTCTTAGAGAGTAGGAAACATTATATATCATCCAGCTTATTAGCAGCAAATCTAGTATCAGAAGTTAGATTTTAATGCACTCAAATAACTTAAATTTGAGGGGTCATAGGAGCTGGATGCTTTGTGTTCTTTCAAATACACAATAAGGTTTTTATTATTCTGCGCAGTTTAACTCTTCAAAATGAAGACTACTTTGGGGAAGACATTTCAGCAGAAATGGGGCTTTACTAATAAAGGCCATCCAACATGAAGAGGGAGGCTGGTCTCCATTTTCTCCGTGACATGATTATTTGAAGTCCCCTTACACCTCTGCACTCCTGAGGACGTCACTCACCTCTCTCAGGCTCCTCTGGTGGCCTGGAATTTGTTTAGTAAGGTTTTTGGTAAAGAATTTTTTATGTCTTTAGAAAAAAATATCTTTAAAAACTCTTACCTTTGATCTGGTCTAAACCGAGTGTCAGTAGGCGGTAATAAAGACTTTGACAATGGGTCCATTTCATTTAACTCTAATGCAAACTGTGTGAAGCCATAATATTGCTCGTGGCCTTTTGGCATGGGATCTGAAAGAAAAATACATCATTCATCCCTCATTTGCCTTTCTCTGAGATTACATTTTAATTCCTTTGCCTTTTTCATCTCAGAATGGCTACAGTTTTTTTCTCTCAGCTCTAAAGTATTCCATTTTTATTAAAATATTCTAACGGAGATGTTGAATATTTCTTTACAAATTTTCTTTTGTCTAAAGAGATGCAGCTTCCTTTGTTAGAAGCTACCATGGCTTTATACAATTTACACAACGTTATGAACTTCTGTACTGTTTGAGCTATAAAATAATTTACTATTAAAATAAATATGCCAAAAGAACACTGGATCTATTTTTCTTGAATAAGATTCCCACTCTAAAGATTCCACTTCTTATTTCAATGATGTCAAACTCTCCTGAAAGTAAACAGTGCTGTAAATAGTAAGTGGTCATACATGCTATTCTTTTCCTCCTTCCCTCCTCTTCTTTTCACCTGTCTTGTTCCCTACAGTCTTACATCTTTAATTTTAAAACCCTAATATGCATTGCCCTAATTTAAATTTCACTAAAAATCGAGCTAAAAACATCCGAGTTTACCTTTCAGGTTAACAAATATAAACTAATAAAATCCACCCACAGCCTCAACTCTTGTTCTTCACATACGAATATAAATGCTTTCCATGACTTCCTGCAGATCTATTTTCTACAGCTTTAGCAGTCCTCCCTGTAACTAACACTCCTTATAGCTTTAACATGAACATAAAACCAAAGCTTCCTACTCTAGATCTTCCACCGTGGTTCCCCAAGCACCAGAGTGAAAAGAGCGGTTTTTCTTAAAGATGGGGCACCATCAAGGGCTGCTCATAAAAAATGCAGAAATGTAAAGTCAAGAAATAACAATGCCAACAGTTTCAACAGTGTGCCTTTGTCAAGGTCTATAATATCCAGAGAGCCTGGGAGTGCCCACTGGTGAAACATGCTTTAAACAAAGGAGAGAGACTGTCCCACCTGTAAAATCTCATGCATGCCTCTGAAGGAGGAAGGCAACGAAGGGGACAATTTATTCTGGCCTCCCGACAATCTTGGTGATGGTGGAAGATGTGGCTTCCGCCCACTACAGGAGACACGGGCAGCTGCCTGCTCTTTACCCCTGCTCTTCCTTGCTAAAGAATCCTGATTCTGTTCAAGGAGCATGCGTCTTTCCCAGGGAATGAACCAGTGTCCATCACAATTCCTCCTACACACTCTGCTGCTCATGATTGGTTCAAGAACAGGTTTGGATCCACTGCAGTCTGATGTGATACAAAGCTGTATTTGCTTGGGCATCCCTGAAACACTTCATCCCTGAGAAACGGGAGGCACGTGAGAAGCACACACTGTCCTCTTTCCCTCCCTGTCTGGTATGCAGCACAGTGGGTATCTGATACTGAAAATTGTAACCATGAGTGGAAACATCAGGCAGCTGGGAGTGGCAGAACATGTGCTTATGGGTCTGTGTCCTGACACGGGTAAGGTGCCAGCATACCAACCCGGGGCTACCAACCCTCAATGCCTGTCAAGCAATGGCGGACATCCTGATGGTTTAAGACACTGATAGAGTAGCTTTTCTTTGTTTTGTTTTTCAGTCTAAAGCATTCTAGCAGCTACGTTGTAGGCCAATGTTTCCACTCATCTATAGTGATAAATGTGTGGGGAACGCCATGGAACACTGGGCTGGCCCAGCCCTTCTCTTAACAGCTGTTTAAAGGACTCAGTGTCCTTCTGGAATCACAGGAGCGGTCAGGATGGTCTATGGCACTTGGGTAAACCCAGAGACTCCTCTTTGTGGTGGAACCCTCAAGTCACTATTTTTTCCAGTTAACACTTTGTTCTGAGTCTTTACCATGGAACAACTTGCACTTCACTGACTTTTCTTCAGGGAGCCCCAGGCAGTCCTGGTGTGGACTAAGATCTCCTACACTGCCCACTGACTTGCTTCCTGGGGTTAAGAACCCAGGACCTAGTACCCACAACGAAGACTGCCGAGACACCTGGATGAATGAAAGGAGGCCAACACCTCTAACCTTGCTCAAAGCAGGAAGAGCCTGGAGACTCCGAACAGAACCGAGCCCTACACTTCGAGTTTCCTCTGGCCTCGCCCAGCTGCCCTCTCCCACCTGAGGTCCCTGCGGCTGGAAACTCACTTGCTCTCCAGATGCACGTGGATGAGGAGGAGCCGCCACTGCAATAGATGCTCTCGTGCCACTTCCCAAACAGCCGGTACACGGCCTGTCCACTCCGGTCGAACACCGTGCCTTCGATCTCGTGGGCATTAGTGCTCCAGTATTTTGCCTACAATGCAAAGAGAGTTGTGTAGTGCTTTGGCTCCCGCTTATCAGAGGTGATACATAAACAAAAAGTGAAGCAAGAGACAGAACAGTAAGAGCGACTACATACCATGTATCATTTGCCAGTTCTGGATTCTGTATGCTTTTTAGTTGACCAAAAGACAACCCTGTGTATCTTAATCCTTTACAAAACAATGTTTTGAAATATGTATACACTGTGGGCTGGCTGGCTAAATCAAACTAATTAATATATGTTTTACCATACATATGTTTTAAGGGTAAGAACCATTAAAAACCGTTCTGATCATTTTTAAGTATAAGATACATGTTACTAAGTATATGCTCCTTGTAGTACCACAGATCTCTTGACCATATTCCTCTGCTCCAACTGAAATCTTGTATCCTTTGACCATCATTTTTCTGACCCATATCCCTACACCTAGGAAGCTCCATTCTACTCTTTGCTTTCCTATTGTTTTAAAATATTTTTATTAGTATATGTTTGTAGTACATAATAATTATATTCATCATGGGAGTACCTATATGTAGCACATATTAATTATTTTTATTTCCCTCTTCCCTCCCTTATCTCTTTTCCTTCCTCCATTTCCTGACTTCATGTCTATAACATCAGCTTTTAAAGGTTCCATATACGGTAAAACCATGCAGCATTTGTTTTTCTGTATTTAGCTTGTTTCACTTAACAAAGGGTGTACCAGGTCCACCGTCCTGTTAGGAATGAGCTTCCTTCTTTTTTATGGCTGAAGGGCAGGTCAGTGTGTATACATGCCACGTTTTCCTTATCTGCTTTCTTACTGATGGATCCTTGGGCTAATTCCTTGAGTACTGTGAATACTTTAATGAACGTGAGAGTGTAGATATCTCTTGGCCATACAGATTTGACTTCTTTTGACTGTATACCCAAGCAGCAGGATTACGAGATCCCATGGTCCATTTCATTTGTGGGGCTTATTTTCAGAAAGGTCTGTTCAGGTCTCCTCCCACCCCTTTTTTGAGATGCTAAAGATTAACACAGCTTGATTTGTACATGCGAGGCAAGTACTCTACCACTAAGCTACATCCCCAGCCCCTTTGCTGATTTCTAAAGCAGATTATTTGTTTTCTTGCTATTGAGTTCCTTATATGTTATCACCTTATCAGGTGGATAGTTTGTAAATATCTTCTCCTGTTTGGTAGATTGTTTCTTTACTCTAAT